TCACTTATCTCCAGCAGTTCGGGGGACTCGATTAGTCGTCGGGTTGATGGACTGACCCAATCAACCAGTCGGATGGAACCTCCTCGTCCTAAAGGAGGCAAGGAAGGCATGATTTGCTCAGCCGTCAATTGTTCAACCTTCCCTATCTCTTCCCCTCCATAACCAATGTCTCGGGAGTCCAGGTCCTGCTTGATCTCCTTCAGCCCCCAAGCTGCCCCCACCTGCACTTCACCTAACACATTTTCAACCCTTCGGTGAACACTTTTGAGACACTCCCAATGAACCTTCTTCGCCCGACCGGCTCCGAAACCAACTCCACCACCATGCATGAGTTGACAGAACTTCACTGAGCAAAGAGCCCAAGCATCCTTAAAGTCCTCAAAGGTCCAGAAACTACTTCTGAAACAATCTTCAAACATGGTTCCTCTAAGTTTGCCATGAAGTCTTGCCCAAACATGGGGGAAGGGATATAGGCTCTTATCGCCCGGCAGTCGCCCACCAAGTTCCCGAAGTCCAAGTGCGGAAACCTTTTGCCACAACCAGCCTTCGCTCAGTGGACTCTGTCGTCCTTCTAGGATCATCCAGGCGAAGCATAGCCCGAGATTCATCAGGTCTCCTTTCTCGCACATCATCTCTGCTACCTTCTCGCCTCGGCAGCCTCCTCTCGTCAAAGGCTCCTCGGCCACTCCTCCTTCTTCTAGGCAGCTCGGCTCCTGACCTCTCACGTCCTCTGTCCTCAAAGCCTCTTCCTCATGCATAGGCGTCTCCTCCTCTCGAGCGGCGCCACCTTGATTCTGCATTTGCCTTCTCTCTGTATGAAAGTTGCCCTCATCTGTCCTGGACGGTTCAAGCGCACAAACGGCTCTCTCATCCTTGGATTCAGCGGGGCTCTGTGCCATGCAAGCCTCAGGCATGGTCATCGCCAAGCCCTCTGCCAATTCTGAATTCTCTGGCTCCTCAACTCTCAGGCCTCTGCCTTCTCCCCCTCGGCCTCTCCTTTGCCTTTCGCCTTGTATTTGCTCCCCTCCTTGCCTCCCTTCTTCCATTTTCCTCCTCTGTCCTTTCCATCTCTTCCCTCCTTTCCGCTGTCTCTTGATCGCCACCAGCTCTTTCCTCCATCTTTGCCGCCTCCTCCGCTCTGCCATCCTCTTCCGCCCGCATTCCTCCATGTCCCTTTTCCTTCGTAGCCGTGAGCTTTGGCTACCAGGTTGCTGTGTTTCCTGGCGGCCAATTGGAGTTCTGTGGGTGCTATGGCCTGATCGGAAGGGACTGCCACCTCGAGGTGTCGGGCCACGGACCAGCCGTCTTGTATAGCTGCTTCCACTGCGATAAAGCGACCGGCCAACGCGTCCAAGCTCTCGAGGAGGTTGCCTGATCTGATCTTGTCGATGGCGGTGGCTAGGAGGAACAACTCTCTCAAGGCTGGATGACCAGAGGGATGGCGTTGCCGAAGCGTCACCTGCCAGTAAGTCCCCACTCGAGGCCCGTGGGTCAGGAGTTCTTCCTGCGGAGTCGACAAATCTTGCAACTGCTCGGCGATCTGTTCCAGGAGAAGGTTGATCACACTTCCTTTCTTCTTGAGGCTTCTTCTTTTGAGGGGAGCTTGAAGTCTCCTTGCCTTCTTCTCCTCGCTGCTCTCCTCCTCGCTCGAATACTCCGAGTCCTCTCCACTCTGATCCTCGCTCTCGTCCTCGTCGTCCGATCCTCCACTGCTGGATGGAGAGCCTCCGTCGCCTTCTCGGTCCTTCTTCTTCTTCTTCTTCTTTTTGCCTTTCTTCTTCTTTTTGGTCAAAACCTGCTTGAGCAGGCTCAATAACTTGTTTCCACTGCCCTTCTTCTTCTTCTTTTTCTTCCCCAGCTCTTTCTTCTCGCCTGCAGCGTGCGATGCCACTGCCGCCAAAGCCTTGCCCGGGGTTGAACTCTTCTTCAAAGTCGATGTAGAACCTCTTCGCTCCTCCGACCCCTCCTTCAACAAGTTCGCCACTTCTCGAGGGGCCCCACCTAGCTCCACTGACAAGCTCCTCGGACCATCGCTCTTCTTCCTCTCGCCCTGAGCAGCAACTATACCTTCTCCCTTCTTGGACTCTCTCAAGCCACCGGCAGCCTCTGATCCTCCTCCACTGACCTCCATGGTCTCTCTCAACTTGCTCTTCAGAGAGTCCAATGCAGTCTCGATGCGTCCTCCAGAGCGGCCATGGCTTCCACTCCCTTTTCCTGTCTCCTCCTCTCTCTTCCTCTTCGACCGTGATGAAGTCCCGCTCAACTCGTCTGCGGCCTCGGGGTCGTCCTCTCCTTCTGGCAAGCCGGTGAATGAAATGCGCCTCAAAGACCTCTCTCGCCCTCTCTCTACCGGTCGATGTCCTGCTCGGCCACGCAATGCTCCACTCCTCAAAGATGCCTCCTCGGCCTCTTCTCTCACGTCCTCTCTCTCCATCTGGCTCACATCGACGCCGCAAATGTCCTGACAAAGCTGGACCCATCTGCGGTAACCTGTAGCTCCAAGCCATTCGGATGCCTTGAACTCGGTAGCCAAAAACAGTTCGAGGGACGTGCAATGGGCCAGAAAGTTTCCGGCAACACCACAAGGAGCCTCCATGCATACGTGCACCTCGGACATCAACTTGTTCATATTTGTTACTTTTCGTGACAACTTTGAGTCCTTGGTGCCCAATGAAATCACCTTCAAATTCAGACTTCCGTCGGCCTGGACCTTGTGCTCGGTGATGAACAGGGGGATGCTCTCCTCTTTCTCCTCTACCTTGATGGGGGCTACCAAAATGCGACCTGTGGTGGCCCCCATGAGAGCCCACCTCTGACGATTCTCTATTGAGAACCATCCCAAGCTCTCGTCACCTTCAACCTCCTCACCTCTCTCCTCGTCGCCTTCGACGTCCATCTGGTGCATCTCCCTCTCGCTCGTGCCTCTTCTCCTTTCTGCGCCTGGGCTCCTCTCCTCCTGCAGCCTCACGCTCTCCTCCTTCTGACCTCTCTGTGCCTCTGCTCCTTGCGGCCTCCTGATCGGTTCCTCGTCCAGCACGTCGAAGTCCCTCAGAAATCGAGCTTAGGCCTGGTGGGTGCTCACGTGGGGTCGTCTGTTCCTCTTGAAAGTGAGCCTCGTCACGGAGTATTTCTAAACCCCGCAATGCGCTCTCCAGCCAAGCAATAGCCAGACGCGCCTCAAGGCGCGAGTGCGGTTGGAACCTCAGTTCCTGAGCCAGCTTGCGCACCGTCAGACACCCACGGCAGCACCCACTCGCGTCCACGAAATGCGGTCGTGAACACGAGGTGCACCGCATGGGACGCTCGCGCACGCGCGCGACCACCCGGGGCCCAGCTTGAGGACATAATGGCCCAAAAACCACCAGTCAAAAGTCGTGTTCGTGAGAACCGTTCGAACAACGAACACCCAATGATTGGCAGGTGGCCTACAAACGCTAGACCTCTACCATCTGGCTGAAAAATGGCCATACGGACATGGACATTCTAGTACTCCTAGACATTCTGCCAATCAGGAGTTCCGACTGACTCCCTCAGTTTGGCTGGTTATATAAATAACCTCTTTCCATCTGTTCTTGTTTACCGTGGAAACCAATGCCAATGCCCCACACAAGTTGGGCAGGCGATCCACGGACTGCGTAGCCCGTACTACGTGGAGGGTGTACACCTGCACACTCCACGTCCCCACGTGGGGTGTGGCTTTGTATGACCATACTAGTAGCCTTTCTAAAGCTCCCCCATGTTTTTCTCTGGGTCTTCCCCAATACTAACACCTCAGCCCACCTCCAAGACCCCCAGTGCGACTCGCATCCACCAGGGCGGAAGCGAAGTTCCAGCCCCGAGGCTTTGCTCAAGCAACACAGGCACCATTTGCTTAAGGAACCGGGGGGGGGATTCACCCACAGGGAAAACCACACTCTTTGGTTAAGCAAAACATCGCAAAACCACATGTTCAGACGACTTGGCCGCCTTGGAACTTCACCCGTGGCTCATGTGGCTCCGTGAGCCGCCCCCTCTCTTTCAAGGGACAAGTTCACAAGGCTTTTCTTGTAGGTTCGGTTCAGTTCAGTTCGCAAGGCCAGTATGGATTACCCAAGACCCTCACACAGCTATCCTGCTGCTTGAACCAGATCACTCAGATCAGGGTTCGTGCAGAAGCGTAACGCTTAAATTGACGTCTTTGCGCACTATGCGTTGAAATGCTGCAGTTTCTTGCTTCAAAAGCTTAGGCTTGAACCATGGGGTCTTGGTTTTATTCCGCTGCATGGTTGCCAACAAGAACAACGCATGATGAGTGAATAACAAAACAAGCCCACCAGTTTGGTTTGCAGGTACCCCTGGTGGGACAGTCGCTGTTGTTGAGATCAATCATGCCAAGATCCAGGAACACAAGGTTCGGGTTGGTTTTCAGAACAATATCATGTATAGTACCGAACGATCTCTGCCAAACTGAATGATCACATTATATGATCACTAACAAAGGAGATTGCGTAGGAGTTCTGACGGGATTCACCCAGTCACCCAGGACCTCTTTTGACCAAGCAAAATAATCCTAAAGTTCTGAGGATCTATGAGGATGTTCAACGTCGTCTCAGACTCTTCCATGATCCTAGTTTGGGCTTTCAACATGGCAAATCTTTCTTCCTGGAGTCCCACCCCGTTTCATACCGTTTCAGTTGCTGCACGTTTGCACGGTTGGATATGATGCTATTATTCTAGCCATGTACCAAGGTGAAGCCGGGCTGTGATGGATGCCGGGGAAAGGAAGGTGTTCGTGCTGCTGTGATCGCATTGATGGGTTGATGTGCTGTGTTTCTGACTGAGATGGAACGAGGATTGGAGTGAATGGAATGGAACATGTTTTTCCAAATTCAAGCACCGACCACTACCACTACTATTCAACAAATACATGCACTCAAATGCAAGAAACATATCACTAAAAAAACTTTTCTGGTAGCCAAGAAAACAAAACACCATCAAGCTTACAATTGTTGTTCTAAATCCCAATTCGGTGGCATGGTCCTTTGTTGGTGAAATTTGGTACAACTCACCGTTGCATTCTCGGTAGGACTCGGTAGGACCACCCAAAACCACCGACGATCCCATCCGCCGATCGGGTGGGCGCCTGCGGCGATGGCCGAGATGGCCGCATTGAAGGTGATCTCGCTGCAAAGGCGCCTGGGTTACATGAAGGCCTCTCACAGTCCAAAAGATGTCCGCCTAAACACTCGTGGACCCTGAGTTATGGAGGGTGTCAATTAATGATAGGGTGATAATTTATAGTCATATAGTGGATTGAGAATCAAGGGCACAAGTTGCCCCAAGTTTGGAGGTTAGGTTTATGTAGATCCCGATCTGTCTTGGGCTGCCAGTGCCATCTACTTAGAACCTACTTTAAAACCGCTGTAAATGTACAAAGTCTAGACATCTCGATTGATAGTTCTTGAGGTCCACGGCTTTTGGACCTTGCTGGGAGACTGAGACTGTCGCTTTCGGTCCCCAGAAAAGCCTTTTCACATCGTTTCACTTGGAATGTCATCCCAAGAAAAGAATCACATGCTGCCAACTTGTATTTGAGGCTCTGCCGACCATCCTGGACATTCCGACACATATTGTTGACATCATTTGACAACACTCCAGTAGAACATATTGTTGAGATATGGTTATAATGTTGTTGTGGATTTGGTGTTGTGTTGTTTTTTGTTTCCGGAAATGCACCGGTTTATGATATGTGTGGTTGATTGTTGACAAGTGCACGCATGATCAGTCAACCTTTGCGGTTGAAAGCACATGATGTGAATAACATACCTCCTACAAACCACACATGCAAGTATTTAATGGATTTGTGCGTCCCCCTAGTTTCATGGTCTTGCCACCCCACTTGCTCCGCTTGCTGCCACTCGTCAATAACACATACCGGTTTTGCTGGATAGACCCTGCAAAAACGCTGCATGTCATGCGGAACGCTGGCTATAGTTACCCCGCTGTTGATCTTTCAACATCGTTCAACCACACCCCAATTGATATGTGCAAGAGCTGTGCAGCTGTGGTGCCCAGCGTGGAATGAAAACAAGGAAACCTTAACTCCATTTCGTTGAAGTTGGCTGGAAAAGTGCAAAGATGTTGCAACCACAAATGTGCAAACTGCGCTTTGGTTTTCGATGATTTGAATGCATAGAAATAATGTTGTTTTTCCTGAAGAAAGTGCATTGGTTGCTCCTCATCTTAAAAAGAAACCATGTGGTTCGGACCACTTTGGAACAGTTGAGTCATGATTGGAGGGGCTCCTCCCACACGAGCCCTGCTGTGCTGCAGTTCTTCCAACATGTCCTACGTACTGCGGACCCCACCGCCAGAAGATTCGCCTGTGGATCATGCTTTCTGCCAGGTCCAACCCTTGCTGCCAGCAAAGGCCTGCCGTCGAAGCTTGAGGCGAACGCCCGGAACTCGGCGAACGACCGATGTTCCAGTTCTGGCCCCAAGAAAAGAGGTCCAACGACATGTTGCTCAGAAGTTGAGTGAACAAACTGAACCCAGTAAAGGAGGGAGGCTTCAGCTTAGCATCATTCTTTTGGACTGCATCGGCTAATTATAGCACCAGGTCACTTTGGTTGACCGACTTCAAGTCTGGTCGTGCGCGCAAGGTGGACGACCGGACGACCAACAGGTTGCACGACCCATCGCCACGTCGGAGGTGAGCAGGTCGAGGGTGCCGGCAGGCGGAGGAAAATCACCTATATACTCCCCTGCAGACTAACATGGAACCCCGAAACCACTGGGGTGTAGAGGAAAATGGTCTTCCATCGGTCCATTTTCGGGTTCCATGCTAGTTTGCGGGGGGGGGACGACTCGCTCGACCAATCAGGGTGCAACATATTTCATAGTCGGTGCCATCACTCGACGCCATCACGACGCAAACACAGTCGCAAACGGTCGCTGCACAAACAGCTTTCACGTGTTGCAACTCGTAAGGTGGGCAAGAGTAGGTACACGGCGCCATCTTGGAGGCTCTGGTCTTGAGCTATAGTGACTGTTACAAATTTCTTAAACCTTGGATACTGCACTAATTATATCATATCCCATTGCCACTGTTAAGTCGATCAAGATTAAAAGGCCTCAAAGCTTAAAAGTGAAACACACATAAAGCACATGCGGCAAGACTTTGCCGGCTGCTGCTGGTAAAGCGACACATATAACATCTTTGACCTGGGTAAGTTATATAAATATACATTCTGGACGATTCAGAAGCGGAAGAACCACTAGTTCCTCTATGAGCGTATGTTCAAGTCAAACACCTTCTTGCGAACTGTACGGAACCCGAAGTGGCATGCTGAACGTTTCAGGTGAATTGCCACAGTCCGGTTCCTACCTGTACTATAACTTGATATAACTTGCTACCCATGATAAGTAAACCCTGACCACCCTGACCCTGTCCCTCCACTCACTTTCCAGTTGATGCGTGGGGAATCCCAACACCCATTCGTTGGAGTGCGAGTTTGCTTCTTCAGCCCCGATAAATACCAAATACCGCACCCGACACCGACCGGCCTACGTTCGGCCCAATGCTCGGTGTGGGGCATGAGCCCGTTCAGGCCACAGAGGAGACCACCTTTCTCAGCATTAGGCTGCCCATCTATCCCTATGGATCCACTAGAAGGTACTTGTGGGCCCTCCTGGCGCCTACAGAACTAGTCTCCTTCCTCACCGTACCTGAGAAGGTACGACTGGATCCCTAGGGAATATGCACATCTGCTTGCCAAAAAGCACCGTTGTTGAGCCGAATTCCCCCGGGCCCGGCATCGAACAAACCACCACCCGAGACCAGCGCGGGAGACCCCGCACCTCGTGTGCCAGCGCTGACCTGACTGAGACTTGGTGTTGGGCCTCAAGGAGTAGAATCCATGCCTGGTTGGTAGTTCCCCTTGAAAAGTACGTGTTAATATGAGTCAGTGGGTGACAAAAGCACAACCTTTTAAAAGGTGGAGCAACATGAACGAAACCACCACCTATATACGTCAAATGCGCGGTGTGAACACCTGTTCACACAACACCGACCACAGGTGCCACAGGCCTGTTCGTGATCTTCGATCGTCCACGACACACGGCAGCGTGGTTGTTACACCTACATTCATGCTTGGTGTTGCGTTGGAATGATACAAAAATTAAGAAACCCTGTCAATGTCAAGTAAACATGTACTAGCACTATAGCACCATAAAAAGTAGCTAATAGCCTTTTAGTGACCTACTACATGCTCCTGTTATCTAATCGTCCAACATCTATCGCAGCAAACTGGCTGCTAAGTAAAATCATATCCCGGCGATCTATGCATCAGCTGCTTAGAACCATTACCGTAAGAAGATCCTAGACCGTGTGTCCACAGTGTTTGGAACAAAATCAACGTCTGGAGTTGGCCAAACGCGCTCAGCAGCTCCGCTGCGTTTGTTTCCAGAATCAGTGAAGCCCCTTCAAAGACCCGGGAAACCTCGCGTTGTAGTGGTAAAATCCTCATGTAAAAGGTTGCTCGACCAAACCTTGGGTGTATATATATATATAATGGTATATCCAGTAACAGTGCATGATGCAGGTTGGTAAAAGCCTTCCTTCTCAAAGACATATATTGCCGACTGTTTCCGGTCTCGCCCACTTGCCAGGTCACCGCAGCGTTGCCCGTGACAGCACCGCCTTGAAGGCCGCACTGCTGCAGAACAGACAAGAGCTGGAAACCCGATGGCCACGGTGCGCCATTGATCCTTGGCACGGTGTGACATACATTGGACGTGTTTCTTTTAAAAAAAATACGGTGGAGAGGAGGGAAGGCATGGGAAAGCCCGACTTTTCGGGCCAGGCGTGTTGAAAATGCGAAGAAGATGGTGGCCATTTGGTCCGGCCAGGCATGGGTGGCGGATGTTGCGCACAACGAAAGCTGTGTCAAATGGTCTTTGGAGGTGGGCGAGCTACGGGGTATGAAGACCACAGCACAGTACGAAGGTATGCGTGCGAGGGTCAATAAGCCCAGCGGAAGAGGGCGTGTTTCCGAAGGTATGCGATGTGCGAAACTTCACTGCTTGCAGGTATTCATTTCGTCTTGCAAGCGCCTCTGCCCTCTGCCCTGCAAACTTCAGACGTTTCCCGTTTCCCTTCCCCGCTGAAGCGCAGCTTCGTCTGTTCCGTCGCGCTGCGGACCTCGTCCGAAGAAAAAAAATTATCCCGGCACGGCAAGAGACCCCAAACAGTGTGTGTGTGAGGTTTAATGAGGTTTATAAGCAGAAAGACTTAGAGATCTAGACGCATTGGGGCCCCTAAGTGTGTCCACACTGTTTGGGGAATAAAAAAACCTGCAGCAGTGTGGCGCTGAGCCGAAGCAAATGCTGTTCACCCGCAAGGCTGCACCGAAGGCCGCCCGCAACATGCCTGGTCGGTATTTCACCGCTGGTCCCGACGGTCAAACGCGATCGACGGGTCTCCCGGAAGAGGGCTCCGGTCGTACCTTCGTTTCGGTTTGGTGGGACTGGGATGGGTTTAGAGGGTGGGTCCATAGCAATCCATAGCGCCCCAGTAGCCCGGTGGCTGGGCTCATTTGTTGGTGGGCTGATTTCCAGCACCTGGGATGACTTCCAATGGTGGTTCGAATCCCATCTCCTGCTCCCCATCTGGCCTAGACCAGCTGCCCAGGCATCGCACCGGTTCAACTCGCCACGCGCAGACCGCGCAGACGAGGCGATGGCGCCGCTGTAGGTGGCGCAGTTCGGCCTCACTCACGGTGAGAGGGGTTGAGAAATCCAACCCCCTCGGCCTGCCAGCAGGTTAAAGAATTCTGGACCTTATCCCAATAGGGTCCTATAAGTCACTTAGCCTCTCTTGGTGGAGATGTCAAACCTGACAGAGGAAAAACCATGAGAGTTGGCCAATCTTGATGTAAAGGTCGATCTGATTGATGAATCCACCTTGCGAGCAACTGACCCTTGGCTTCCTCCGCTGGCTCATGGCCGACTCTCGAGAGAGCGAAGGAGTGGGGGACATGAATCCCCAAACAGGGGCAGGCGATCCACTGACTGGGCAGGATGGTGCTATCAGGAAAGGCTGACGCTGGCTCCCACCGAAAGCTCCATGACAGCATGGAGGTTCCACAAAACCAAAGGAATGTCAGCAGCTGCCACATGCCAGTGTGAACGCCAGATCTTCAGGAGCTTGGAGCAGGGATGACTCAACAACCATCCCAAAGTGAGCATCAATTCTTTTTGCCCCTGAGAGAAAAACGGATGCGCCGCACAGGTGAAGCTTTAGTCTGCTTGCCAAGTCGGGGCCCTTCCGGTTGAAGGCAGGGTCGGACTCTTCAGTTCTGAGGGTCCAAATGATATAGATCTACTTTGTGTACATCAGTAGGCAGTAGATCTGTCTTTTCTCGTCTTTTCTCGCCTTCCGCGCCAAACCGCGCTTCCCAAAGCGCCAGGCGATCAAAAGCGAGCGCGATGCGAAGGCGAGTGCCTCCATGAAGGCGAGTGCATCCATGAAGGCTCAATGCACTTCCATCTCTCACCTCCCCTCCCTACGCCTTCAACCTTATAGCGATGGCATCCCCCTTCCATCTCTCACCTCTCCCTACCTTCCCCACTTGGGACACCCCACACAACCCGCAGCTGGCGGGTCTCCGTCAGCAGTTGATGCGCTTGGGGCCAGCTGCCCGGGCTTCGGCACGCGCTCACGGCGGCGCTGCAGAGAGCCACGTCCAGGCCTCTGAGGTCATCCGAGGAGATCCATATGATTGATTTCACAAACATGTGATGTCCTAAGATTTTATGGATCTCCTAAGCCTATCAATAGTTTTGACATGCTACATGCTCGAACTTAATATTATAACCATAATATACAAAGTAATGTCCAAAGCCCATCAACCAGGACATTCAAAGTGACCCTTTGATATCCCAGAATGAGGTCACTTAGGTCTGTACAAGGTCACGTAGAGACTCCAAAGAGGTCACTTTGAAGGTCTTGGAATAATTCGAGATAGAATAACCAAATGTCTTTTTTCCCCGAGTGAATGTGTGGATGGGATGCTCCTCCAGCGGATCATGGGGAGCAGCATGCTGAGTATACAGGTGTTTAGCGGCTAGCGTGATCGGCTCACACCGATCTTCGAGTCTTGCCTGTCTCTTTTGCTTGGCCAAAAAGTGTTACGATGGGCTGTTGGATACATATCTTGATGTGATGTTTCAAGGATGAAACATGTTTGCCTGCGTTGATTTTTTGTGTGCGTTGCTATTTTCTTGGAGTACCAACGAACCAAATACTTTTGGGGTGAGCTAAAGCTTTCCAACGTTTGCAACAGTGAAGGAAGTTTTGGTGACCGGAGAAGAAAGGTGCTGAGCCAGACTTATATAATGCCCTATGGTGTCCGCCGTGTCAACATGGTCTTGAAATATATAGAAACGGTTACCAATACATATTGAAAAGGACTTTATAGTGGATTGAGAGTAGATGGCACAATTCCCAAAAGGCACAACAATGGACCCCCATCTGTCGAAGACAGCTCGGGGTGCCATCTAGCCGGCCATCTATACCTGTAAAACTACATCAATGATTTCACATGATGTTCCTTTTCTACTTATTTGGGGAACCTCTAAACATTGACCATTCCCCAGCAAGTCGATCGGTCTCATGACCTTGGCGTTTGACCACCACCTCAATGGGTGGGACCATTCTCAGCCCCGTCGCAGGAAGAGTGACGAGCATAGTCACGACATGTCATTCTTCATCACCAGAATGGATGTCAGTTTATGCCGACCCAGGCTGTCGGCATAGACCGACATTTGTGTTGTCGATTATTTTCCACAAGGATATGGTCAATATATGTCAATATATGGTCAATATGGTTCACTTGTCCACATGTGTGTTTGTTTTTCCACATCTGTGGCACCTGTGCGCTCCGATACCCGAGGCCCTCACCCACATCGCCTTGGTCTTCTTTGAGGCGTTCCAGCGCCTGCGTTCCGCGTTTGGCGTGAAGGCCGTCACGGTGGACCATGACGGTTCCAGGCGTTTCATGCCACCCGAATGTCGAAGAAACTCACATAGTAAGCACCTGAATATTCGAGTAATCTCCTCTGCGATGCTAGGAAGTGGGGTAGGATATATCATGTAATATCTTCTACACAATAGTACAGTTCCTTATCCTATCCGAGTAGACTAGGGCACAACCTCAACCTCAAATTCAGAAACGCCCGAATCTGTGGCGATACTATACTTGAATTAGTTTCTGGCCATGATCATGTGACTCTTGTGATGCTTGCGCATGCGCTTCGTTTCATGCCGCGCCTGTGGCCATGCACTTCGTTTCCCTAAAGAAACAATCTGCTTGGTGAGCTCCACACGTGCCAGATGCTTTGTGTCGTCGCATGACATGCACCAACGCCCCGTTGGTGGCGTGAAACGTGGCGTGAACAAACGACCCAAGCAAGTAAAGGTGATGCTGAAATTAATCCTTCTGGGGTGTTCTCTTGGTGCAGGCTACACATCTGGCATTATACACGACCAAGACCAAGATTTTGTCCACTCCTTTCCATGTGTTGATTTTGAGTTCGTAAAAGAGTTGAAGATATATGGAGTATGCCATGGTGGGAGTTGATCACGATTGTGTAACACAAGGGTCGGAGCACATCTTCAGACCAGGGTGTTGTGTTTTGGGGACATTGGCCGAAGGATGCCGAAGGAAGCCGAAGGCCAGGATGGACGCTGGAGCCGGAGCCAAGATCAACATGATCTTCTCAGTACCCAGGGAATCCCAGGGACCCAGTTCGGATTCACCCAGTTCGGGCAAAAAACAAAAAACATGGACCCGATCCGCAGAAGCAGGCCAGGCGGCCAGGCTTGAAGATGTTTTGTTGTTTGATGTCAATGTCAATGTAGGGATCCAGTACCTTCTAGGAAGGTGTGTGGGGTGGGTTTCGAGGGTCCAAAACACTTCTGAGGAGGTACTTGGTAACCATTTTGAGGGTCGAAAGACGCGGTACACTCTGACTCGTGAAGATTCAAGCGGAACATAGCCCCTCAAAGACCAGGTGCGCTTTGTACCTTTTGGCGGCAAGACCACGTGGCTTTCGTTTGCGAGTTGCAGGATGCAGTGGTCTTTTTCAACACCTCACCTGGAAATTCTGGGTTCTATGGTAGTTGAACGAAAGTGTTTATTGATTCAGGTTGTGGAGAACCTGTTGTAATCCTTGAACAAAGAGAATGTGTATATTCCAAATCATATCAAACCAAGCTGATACATGTTGATTGTATTCTATTACCAATTGATGACTGTTGGGAACCGGACTGGTGATGGTGTCATTGGCATCTCTGGGTCACATAAACAAGGGCTCCGGTCGTACCTCCTCTGGTTCGGCATGTCTGACTGGACCCTCCTGGCACCCAGTCCCACCCTACCGAAAGGAAGGTACGACTGGAGCCCTTGGGGATAGGCAAGGCCTGGGTTCTCTCCAACTGTGGCTCCAGCAGCATTTCTCTGTGGCTCCAGCAGCCAGGGCGGTGCGCGGAGATGGGCGGGGCGTGGAAGCTGCCAGGCCAGGCCATCGAAAACTTATCTGTCCAGTTTCTGCAAGTTTCGCAAACTCAATTGATCCAAATAGCCTTGGCCTAGCTGCAGTAGACTCAAAGGGTTGAATGATGTTGAATGGCCCATGCATTTTTGTTAATTTGGCAGGCCAAACCGAACATGGCTTAGCTGCTACATCGCCCGAAACGAACATCCTGCTAAGTTTAAAAGTCGCGTGCTGAACTGTTGAGCTTCCAGCAGTAAAGCAGCAGTTGAGGACAAGGCGTAAGAAAGCCAAATTAGAAAAAGGACCCACAGGGTTCGCATGCAGAATCCCACAGTCTAAATAACACCTCTGTCAGTTTGAGAAGATTACAGTTTGTCGTGTGATGTAGTGTCTGAAAATCAATCTTGATGACGCGCGACAAACAAGTCATCTGGTACAACGCAACTTCTTGCAAGGTATAGAAACAAGCGTTTCATATAGAGAACCATTGCAAAAGGCCCAGAAAACACTAAATTGTTGACATATTAAAGAAATTGGAGGCAGCAAAGACCCAAAGCTTGTTCAACCCGCTTTATGCAGGCAAGTGGAAGGGGTGTGTATTCTTGGCATTCCTATGCATTCCTCCGTCTCTAGGTTGGTCTATTGTTCACAGCAACTGCTGTGCGGGGCACTTTGTCCCACGTGGAGCTCAGGAGCACTTCAAAATGTGCAACGACATTCTCTGTGGCATTGTGCACACAGAAAAGAGAAAGCAAGTCCCAATTCGATCCATGTAGGGAACAACAAATTCAAACATGATCAATGAATCATCATAATGTCATGATGCATCGACAGTTGCTTATCTCAGAATCGTGGCCTTCGATAAGAACACAAGCATCATCCGTTTTTTTAAGTTCTGATCTGATCACCTTACACCCACATAGACCACAAGATCGATTGGGATGGGGTGACTCTACAATCTCTTTCAGTTTCTTGTCAACTCCAGTTTGACCAGTGATGTCAGTAATGTAGACTCGTGATTTTTAACCCCCCAGTTGGATTATATGTATTGAGGAAGCTTTGATGATTTTTATGATATCGAACGCACAAGTGCATGCAAACTGTCACAGCACTTCTGGATATGGCATTAGTTTAGGGTCACCCGTGATATCCTACCCTACAGAAGGAGTTGTTCGATCTCCACTGCATCTGTGTCTTTTATCTCACGAAAACCTTGCGACAGGGCATCTCGCCCCTTTTCATCAAAACAACGCAGCCTTTGTTGACCTGAAGATACGCTGCCGCGGACGAAGACCGCACTGCTCCATCGGTGGATGTGGAAAAACTGGGCGGACGAACAACTCCATGCCTTTTCACATCTGGACATTGGGTGTGCATCAAAATAAGGAGACCTCCCGACCCTTGAATTTGCTTCGGAGAATAGACCGGGTCTCCGAAAGACACACCCACATGTCGTCCAGGAGAGCTGAACTCATCGAAACAAGTGACTTCTTCGAACTCTCCCCCTTGTCACTGACATCGATGGCCAGCTTGTCACTGACATATTCGCTGGTCCTTCCGGCCGCTGCGATGCCGAACATGGGTTTGGGCTTACTGAAGGCGGAGTCCGACATTCTTGGAGTAACTGACCCTGACAGGCCCCCCTGTGGTAGTGGTGATATATCAACTCGCAGGTGGGGTTATATAATGAGTCATTGAAGTTGAGGGTGAGTAACATGACAGTCATACCTTTATCCCGGCGCTTAATATCGTTTGATATGATAGGAACCAGTTGGTGTTGATACTTCTGTTGAAACTGGAACTGGGCATAGGTTTCAACATGCTGGCAATGTTCAGGTGGATCGTATCGCGAATCGACATTGTTGTTGCATCATCTCAAGCACAAAAGCCTGATATCCCTACAGTAGAAGTCCAAATGTGCATTCATTGCCCTACGGAAGTGAGGTAAATGCAAAAAAACACAAACTATTTCAAGCAAAAGAACCCGCGCTGCATGGTGTGCATTCACATGTATGGTCTGTAGCGGTGGGTGACCAGCGTGATACCGGCCCACGGCCATACCGGGTCACGGCCCCACGGCCATACCACGCCGACACCGGGCGCCTGAAACAGCACTCAAACCAGCTGCAGGTCGGCATTCAGCATGTACATCATTTCGGTGTCGGCCAACTGCGCCTCAGAACTCCAAGGGTTTCGCAGCACTGGTCCAAGTTTACATCCCCTGAACAGGTGGAACATGGAGATGTCGGATGACCATCTTCTCACCAAAGAAGTGGTGCCATCCACGTAACCGTGATTTCAGGGAGTGTACGTTACGTTCGGTTCAAGGCCCAAGTCTTTCCCAGCACAAGTCTATGCGTTAGTAGAGTCGATGTCCCACAAACCTTGGCTGTAAAACCGCATGTTAACTACCTGATTGTGGAAGGCTGTGACTCCTTGCACTCCAAATAGTACAAAACTGAATTGAAAACACCAAATACATCTAAATGCTGCAATGGTGTATAGGCCCGTGTCCTCTGAAAGTCCATCCGGATTCCCATCCCCTCTTCCCATCCGAATTCCCTTGCCCGATCCCTTCCAGCCGAGCGGCTGCGCATGAGAGGGGGGTGACGCCTTGCAGGTCTGGCACATCCACCTTGGCACCCACGTCGATGAGGAAACGTGCCACAGAGGAGTGGCCATGCTGGACCTCAGCAGCACCCGAGGCAACTTCCGGAACAAACAAAGAACAAGGCAGAGAACAACAGCAGAAACACCACCAACAATCACGACATGTAGGCCATATTTGCCATGGAGCGTCTGGGCGCACAAAACGGAACCTTTTCGGTGCGAAAAAGTATGTATGCGCTGATTTGTGGTCGCCGTGCCTACGCATTTCAATGTCCGAGACGTGGTGTGAAATCTCTTTACAAACCGCGGTAGTGTCCAGCAAAAGTGACCTCAACATGCGCAAAAGAACTTTATGTCCAACAACCCACCCGACAGCCCACTTCACGTTTCCTCCCTTCGGATCCTCATTGGCATCCTCCAGTCATTACGTCCAAGGGACGGCCCACCATAACGGGCTTCGGCCTTGTCGGTCGGTCTTATCCCTGGGGCCGAGTCGGTCGGGGCCAGCTCGAGGGGTGCCACATGCAGATCCTTCCAGCACCACCTAGCTTCGATGGCTGTTGGATGGAAAACATATACCTGCCGATCTACAATGAAATAATGCATATACTTGAAGATATGTCCACAAATGTTCCTTCTGAGGGCGACATTCGATTTATGGCTTCGACACCCCCTTCCCAGCCAGGAATGTTTCCCAAATAGAGTTATTCATGTTCATCGCGCACGTGCTACACCTACCTTGCAAAACAGGCCCTCTGCAATGCTAGAAGAGATGGCATGCTGATGCCCATCCGCATGGCCACACCTCCAAAACCTAGCCTCTCCAAACTTGAACGCGCACCTTTTCAAGCTCATGACCCCAATGCCCCTCGCTATACAACAAACTGCATAGCGAACACTCCTGATGTGAGGCGGGTGCGCATTGTGGCTCTGCCTTGAAACTGGAAACGGGCACCACAACATCTGATTCACGCTTCTTCCTTTGAGACGTCGCAGCAAGTGTAGGAGGCTGCTTGTCTGCCTCTGGTGCGCCTTTGCGCTTCCTCATCTGCCCTAGAACATCTCCACAAAACTTGATCAGCCAAGGGTTCTTGTTGCCGAGAAAAGCCACCTGCTTTAGCTCCTGCAGAGATGGCGGCTTTGACTGGCGAGCAGCGCGGGCTTTGAGACCTGCAGTGCCCGCATAAGGGCAAGGAAGTTGGAGTTTGCTTCAAGCATGCTTCACAGCTAGGTAGCGTGGCACTTGCCCCGGACATATCCTTGACGACGACAAGGCAACAGCTGGGATTCCTTCTGCTCCACTGCCGTTTCTTGAGTGGACACCGTCTTTCTGAGTGCCGCTCCAAGAGCACGACATTCCCATTCACTGCTGCTTTGTGCACCAAACCAATTCTCTTCCATCCGGATATTACATGTTCTTTGCTGTACCCATGTTCCCAAATCTCATGCGATGTGTCCAGCACCTCAAGCTGGGAAGAAGGCATACCTTCGCGCCGTCTCTTCTGCCAGCGGCATTCGGCCTTGCAGTTCGGTGTTGGGTCAGGCAAATCACTGCTTTCGCGAGGTAAGGGCCAGGCAAAAAGAGACGCACACCCAAGCTGTGACAAAGCAATGTGCATTGTGTACTTAATGTCAACAGAGGATTAAGGAACCTTCCCCTATTGATCAAGCCCAGCTGAAGCCTCCAATACTAAACTAATTAAAACTCTGCAAACCTCCCTCTAATAATGTTGTTCCCCTATTAATCAAGCCCAGCTCCCCCAGACAATTTATATATTTTTACCTTTTTAGTATTCAATATCTTTTGGTCCATGGTGAAAACTGATCTTCCAATCCACCCTTGTCTCATGCCATCTCTTTGAGAGATAGCGTCTGATCATCTTTTTCCCAGTCCAATCCACCTTTGAGAGATAGCATTCAATATCCACCAATCATCAATCATTATATATCATTATCATCGTCCGTTTGCCTCTCATCCAGCTTTTTCTTCTCATCCTTCCCTGTTAAAATTCAAAAAACTTGCTAGCAAAATTCGTTCATTTTCCCTTATTAAAACTCTTTCAAAATCTTAAGGTTTTCAGGCTCACAAAGGGTACCCCTCACACAGGCCCTACCACCCCCTAGTAGTAGGGACCCCTCCCCCTATTAATCAAGCCCACCCTCTGGCCTCCATCTTGTTTTCCATCTCTTTGATCCCGCAATCCTCTTTCTTTTCCTAATCATCTCAATCAAAGAAAGAATCTTGTCTTCCAATCTCTTTCATCTTTTCCTAATCATCCCAATCATCCCAATCCCAATCTTTCCCAATCTTGTCATCCATCATCAGGTCATCATCTGTATTAAGGGGATGTGGTCTGCACCCAAACCTTGTTGACCTTGTTGACCACCCAAGCTGCTGCTGCTCAGGAACTTTCAGGACATCTCTGCAGTGCTTTGCCCACACCAAGACAACCTAAGAGAAAAGATCCGCTGTCCAGTTCGAAGGTGCTTCATTCCATCGACCTCATATCTTTCACCACACTTAAAAGTTGGCCCCAACAACCTCAGTTTTGACCTTTGTTTGTGTATTCAGGTGAGGGACTGGAGTGTGCTGATCTCTTCATCGAAGCATCTTCCAGCACCCCCCCAGCATTGCACTCCAACGAGTGGATGTGGCTCAATCTGGTGATGTGCTTCTTGGAAAGTGTCGAAGAGTGTTGAATCGCAGTGGTTTTATTTGAACCATGTTGAACATGTTGAGTCATTGTAGTGCATGACCACTTCACGCTAAGCCAACACTGCAAATCTGACCAAATCCACTCCGTCGGGCTGCGGGTTTTTTGCGACAGTTTTGGGTTTTTTTTGCAACGGTGAGGTGTGAGAGGGTTTTTTTGCGACGGTGACCGCAGAAAGGGTTTTCTGTGACAGTACTGTCCGCAGGGGTGTTTTTTGCGACGGTGGGGCGAGGGTTTTTTGCGAGGGATAGAGAGGTGGCAAGCGTTTGTGGGGGTTTTCTGCGACGGTAACCGGGGTTTTTTGCGACGGTAGCGCATGGACGGGGTTTTCTGCAACGGTAAGCGGGGTTTTTTGCGACAGTAAGGGGCTCGAGGCGACGGTACTATAGTAGTACGACGACGACGACGACGACGACGACTGCTACTACTACCACTCCTACTTCTACTTCTTACTACCACTGCTACTGCTACTGCTACTGCTACTGCTACTACTACTACTACTACTACTTCTACTTCTACTTCTTGCTACTATTACTACTACTACTACTACTACTACTACTACTACTACTACTACTACTACTACTACTACTACTACTACCAGGACTACGACGACGACTACTACATTACTATACTGCTACTACGACAACCAGTACAACTACGGCTGCTACTACTACGGCTGCTACTAGTACTAGTACTAGTACTAGTACTAGTACTAGTACTAGTGCTAGTACTAGTACTAGTACTAGTACTACTACTACTACTACTACTACTACTACTACTACTACTACTACTA